TTGCAGGTGAAACAAGATAAGAAGAATAAACAAAGTAAGAGAAGGATAGAGATAGATAAAAATTGATCGTTAACGCCATCTGTTGTCAATGATATCTCTATAAAAACAAAGTAGGATAACAATTGAAAACAAACGTTATTTCTTGAATATTAAAGAAATTTTGCAAAAGTATTCAAAAGATAGTGTAGATCATTAATTTCTATTCTATTCTATTTCTATTTCTAAAGAAATATTTTTTATAATCAACAGATGGCGTTGAAGATCAATTCTTATTCTATTTCTAACCTCCCACTATTTGCTTTTCTTATCTACGTGTTTGTTTCATCAGCGGCATTCTGAAGATGGCGTTGATTCAACAATTTTTATCCTGTCTTTATCTCTATCCTTCTTGCACTAATTATATTTTTATATTTTGCAAAATTTACGCGGTCAACAGATGACTCTGATACTCAATTAACTTTATTTTTCTTTGTTAACTATTAATTAAAAAGTAGAATAATTTCTAAAAATTTCTGTCCGATTTCTGTTCAACGAAATAATTTGTCAAAAACGAATTATAGTAAATCACATTTTATTTTCAATGAATTATTTTCCAAATTTTCAATTATTAATGATTCATATATTGTATGTACATCAGTGAATTCAATTATTATAAAATAAAAAACCTAACAATATTGTTCATTCTTATATCGATTAATTAATCTATTTCATGCAAAATTAATGATAATTAAAATTAAATTAGATTATAATATATAAAATATATTTTTTATATATTTTTATTAAATATATATGAATGGAATATCTATATAATATATAAATAATATATAAAAATACAAGAAAAAATATATATAACGAAAATTATTTATATTTTAATCATACTATATTTCGAATAATTCCAGTAAATAATTAAATTTTTAGATGCAGGAAGTTCAAGTTAGAAGTTACTGGTCAATTTACGACGACAAAGGCATCGAGTTAATTGGTAAAAAGGCGATTGACCCGCGGTAGACAGAGAGACAGAGGTCACCATCCTTCGGAACAACACATCCTTCAGTGACTTCCGGTGTGCTGCGTATGTTTATGAATCATTTTGATATTTCTATATCAATGTTCTTATTCGTTTTTTTTATTCGTTTTTACGTAAGTTTCACACGCAACAAACAATTTATTCGCATATTGGTATAATGGAATTTCCAGCTAATCAAGTTTTTGATTTATATAGTATACTGTCCAAACTTCGCCAAATTTATATATATTTTATATATTTAAATAAAAACGAAGGAATGGAATTTAAAATGATTTCAAATATACTGCATTAATATATTTTTTGAATAATAATAAAAGATATTATTAATAGGTTAACCCGGCCATAAATAATTTTTGAAAGATCTTGTAATTCATGAGGAATCTATGATGGACGATCCCTGCCAATGTATCGTCTGGTGTCAAGTACTCGTTGCAAAAAATGATCATCCTACTGAAACATCCTACAAATGTCCATCTTATCGTGAAGAAACGTTATACAAAATAAAACGCTAAGAATGCTATTTAAGTAATTTTATCCTTATAAAAGTAGCACGAGTAACAAAAAATAAAATGTGAAATTGTTCTTATTACATATTTTATTAAAAATGTATTATATATTTCAGATCTAAATTCTTTAGATTCTTCGTATTGACTTTTCGCTTTATCTACTTTTCTTTCTGCTACAATAGCCAACAAAAACATGGTATGTTATAAAAATTTTTCATATTGATACGTTCGAAGTTTGTTTTTTTATAAAATTAGTTACATTTATAAAAATACATGTATTAAACAAATATGCAAACGTTTATTGAACGTTTATAGATATTCGATTAAAATGTTATTATTAAGAGATATATATCCTTTTTTTGTCTTATCGCATAGTGTGTTCCGTATAACACAAAACATAGAAGATAGAAAAAAATATATATTTTAGAAAAAAAATTAGTTCCAATTATAACACAATACACAAGATTCTACATTTTAAATTTAGATTAGGTTTAACATTCCATCGATTTTTACATATTGTCATCAACAATAACGTTGATACGAAAAAGTAATGATATAACCTCAAAATTGTAACTTTCCTTTTCGTACGTATTATAATATGTATTTTTCATATTATCCTATAGCTTATTCTCGTATTTTCATTTTTTCTCTCATATTCGTATACAATTCTATCTTTCTCCTATAACACAACGTAACAAAAGTGATATTATCTGTGGTTCCGTTAATATTCCCATATGTTCTCTAGGTAAATATGTAATTTCTCACCAACCGTCCATTTAACAAAAAGGCAGTTTTGTAATTGTCATATTGGAGAAGTGTCGAGTTAGCGCCGGAATTTGCCGTGGTTCCGGTGTTGTACTTCCTGAGGACACCCACTTGTCTTTGGCAGGATGAACTCATCGCGTATATCTCTTGTTCTAACGCACTTTTATCTCGCGGGAAATGGCTGGTCGTTGGCCCACGTTATTCTTCTCAGATATTGATATTGATACAACTGTCCCTGTGTTGTGTATATCGTAGTTAATCATTGTTCATATAGTTGTTTTTTTCATTTTCTTTTTTTTTTAAATTATCTCTAATTTAATTAAATATCTATCTTTTTTTCAACATCATCAATTTATATATATAGTGAATAATTTTCTATTATAAGTAATAAATTATGTCTTAAGATATATATATATATATATATTTGGATTTTATAGTTTTATAAAATGTATTTATTCATAAATCTATATATTTTTGATAAAGGCAATTTTTATATTAAATCAATATAGTTGTTTACGCATAAACAAGTGACATAATCTCGTTTAAGATTACGTAGACATAACCTTATTTAGAAATTTCGTGCTTTCCTATAAAAATTAATATGATCTATTGACATTTTAACAGATTAACATTTTTATTGATCGATTTCATACATATGAATCATATCAAGATTGTAATGAACTTACTAAATTATCGAACTCGTTTTAATCATAATTATAATATTATGATAAAGTCAAAAATAATGCAATTTCAAAAAATTCAAATAATAATCCCAATACAAATTTTAATTAATAACATAAAAATTGTTAACATTCAATATTCATTTTTTTTATAATAACTTTATTTAAAGAATATAAAAGAAAATTTACAATAATTGCAAATTGCAATTTACAAAAAATAAGACTTGCAAAAAATAGATGATGTATATTTTATATTTTCATAAAAAAAATAATATTATTCTTAAAGTGATTTTTGCAGTGAATTTCAATTAGCTCGTAAAATACGAAACTACTCAAGGTTTCAACCAAGCCTCTAAATTTTAAAGGTGAAAGAAGATAATTTGATGAAAAGTTTGCGAGAACCATCGCTATGTGTGGGTGTTTCGGATGTGTAAAGACAGGGTCGAACATGGATAATTGATACCCATGGTTTTTTAGTGGTCAATTAAACATGGAACATTTTTAGTTTTCTTTACAATGCTATTCACTGCTCCTTGAATTTATAAATAGAAACGGGAGCAGTTGAAACATAGTGGGTATTTTCAGTTGAATGAATAACACAAGAAATGGAATAAGTTACAATAAAGTGAATATTTATTAAAAAAAATTGATAATAATAATTGTTTTATGAATCTATAAAATTATTTCAAAAATTTTAAAAATTAATCTGAACATCAATAATAAATGAATTGCAATATTATTTTTTTACATATATTGAACAAATTTATTTGCTTTAAATCTAAATAGAATATTAATAATAAAATGAATTATTAGTTATTATTCTTTCAAAAATTTTCTTTAATCTTTGAAGAATTTAAAAAAACTTTAAAAATCTTGATATAAAATATAGAGGCTTTATTTATATACGTACACAATTGAGATTGTAACATTTGTATATTGCGTATATACACACACAATTATACATATATTCAAAGTATAAGGAGGCAGAAAAGAAGGTCCAGTACATTATGTTCGAATATTCATGTGTAAAATATATATATATATATTTTGCAATTCTTTTAAAATAAGCTAGGATTTCGTCATCGAATTTCTATGGTGATCAGATCACGATTATATTAGGAATGTAGAAGATGAACAAAATATTTATACTTGATATTTATTATACTCAATTTTTTCAACTATATTAAAATTTATTTTAGCAAATATTAAAATCAAATTGAAAATTTCTTATAAAATAATACTTATTAATATGTGAAACATATTTTTAATGAAGATTTAATATATTTCACAAGATTATAAAATTGAATTCCATCAAATATTTTGTTATTTTAACAAAAATTGTTTCTCTTTTTCATCAAAGATGTACATTTTAATTATTCATCAAAGAAACACAATATTGATAAAATATAAAAATAATAGCTTTCATTAAACCTTATTAATAAAATAATAATAATATGGCAAAATAATTATTGATAAAATAGCAATAAAATTTATTGCACGACACATTGAAATATAGAACACATAAGGATATAATGTAACTTCTGAAGAGAGACAACAAGCGTGGTAGGGATATATCAGTGTTTCCCAACCTTTTTTGATTCGTGCTCCATTTCAATGTCTCAAAGATTTGTATGCTTATTCCAACAATTAATAATTGATTAAGTTCTGAAAAGTATAATTTAAATATTCTGCTCTGCTTAATTAAAATATTCAATTTCATTTTTATCATTTTTTTATGTTTTAAAATATATCAAAATATTTGCTCTACACTCTTCTTTAGTTTTTAAATGAAGTTATAAATTCTTTTGTAATGATGTATAATCTGATCTAATTTATTTTTTCCAAACAAAAATGTCGTAAAAAAAATTGTAAAATTTTAGATTTCTTCTATATTTTGAAATATTATATATTACACTTAAGTGGTATTTAACTTTAATCAATTGTTTCTCTAAAATATCGAGATGGCCCCTCTGTGGCTTCTCCCCACGTTGGGAAACACTGGAATACATGGTGGGTCGAAAGTTGAAGGAAAGTAGCGCCAGTCGCCCGCGGTACACCGTACGCGTGAGGGCTGTCCGCGTCGTCTTTCTTCACGGTGTATAAACACTGCCATTCGTTTTACTCACAACTGTCACAACCGATTAAGTGTGATCGTGAACGTGACCGGTATTCACGATAATCCGGTAAGAGTCGTTATATTCTACGATAAAAGTATATGTTGCGAATTTTTATGGTTAGAAACGCGCGATCCTTGATCGAAATACCATCGGAACGTACGAGACAAAGATCGTTGTTTCACGATATCTTTATACGCGATGCGGTGACGATGGTTAGTGTCGTTCGAAATATAATGTGAATTTCGCCGTGTGTTTCGACGATGGATTTTATTCGAACGTGACTTTATTTCCTCTTGTTCGATTATACGTGATTGTGAGAAACTACTATAGTGTGTTCACGTGTACGCATTGAAACCGTAGAAGTGGCTTTCTAACGTCTGATAAATTGTTGCCGAAATAATTAAATTTGTTTAGTCTCGAAAGATTTTTTGTTTAAATGGGACTTGAATGTGTTCGATCTATATATCTGTGTTTTTTTTCTTCCTTTTTTTATGCCAGGCATTACTCGAGCCTCCCTAGGGATCGTATCCTTTGTGATGCACGTGCTTCCATTTTATCGTGACAAACTTCAGCTTGGTGGGTGACTAAAAAATTGTTGAACTGTCTCCTCTGGCTACGATTTATATTCGTTTATATTCATTGTACGCTTTTTACTTTTCAATTATTGCAAATATATTTTCTCTTTGAATTATACTTTCATAAAATCTAAAAGTTAAAGTGATTTATTATTCGACAAATGTAAATATGAAATTTATTTAAATATAAATTCATCTCAATATTAAAAAATTCGCGAATTAATCTAATAGATCGTATGTCATGTGTTATGACTATCTTGCCGTGGTGGCAGTGTCATAATTTGTTATTCTTCGACTGTGGCAGCCATTTCCGTTCATGGCGCGTTACTTTGCGTCGATGTTCAAAATTAGCCCTATCATGTTAATCTGAATAATTTATATATTCTTAGTAAATTCTTTGAATCTTTTTTAAAATATCAATATTATTCATATGTTATTGTTTTAAGGTTAAACTAAGGTAAATCTTAAATATTTGAAAAATAGATGAAAATAAATTTCGTAATTAAACGAAACTTTTTTTTTAATCAATGAAATATATTATATTCAAAACTATACACGTTCATTTTTAGAGTTCTCAGAATATTATCCCAACTTGACGAAAAAACGTTGTCTTACTGGAGTTTAATTTTAGCCTTCTAGATGCGAAGAAAAATTGATCGCGATGTCTGCGAACGAATTCCATTGCCAATTCTGACTGGTAAAACAGCGTTTGTTATCATTAACAACATACCTCAATTTTTTTTTGCATATCTTAATTTTTATTTCTGATTGCAATTTTACTTCATACAATAATGCATTATTTTTAGATTTTAGAATTTATTAATATTTAAATCAAATATTTAAAATCAATTTCTCTAAAAATGAAATATCGTATGAAAAGATTTTATTCTATATTTCTATTTAATTTTTTTACGTAGAATCATTTTTATCCAGGAACTGCATGATGTTCTGTAATACCGTTCTGTCTTCGCACAATAGAAACTGTAATGAAGTAACGTTTAATTGTAACATAAAAAACTAAAAAGAAAAAAATGAAACAAGATTGAAATATCATACAATAAACGATAAATTACGAAAGCGTCAGTGCTTCGATTAAATGAAAAAAAATATTTACATATCAATTAGCACAGTGCTTGGTAAGAATTGAGAGCATGCGCAATTCATTCATTGCTCTACGATTTTTTTATCGCAGTTTCCTGCAGTTGTATCGTTGCAACTCCTATCCAAGCAAAAGCACATTTCTGAAACAAAGAATCTCTTTATATGGAGCAAGAATTTCTCATATGATCATTTCTCTCATGCGAGATATTATTAATAATAATAGATATTCAAACCTAGATATTTCAATTATTATTATCATAAATATTCAACTTTTAATCCAATTGATTGCGACATGAATGGTTAAGCTTCAATCATTTCAAATATTTCTTATTTCAAAAATAATTTTTCTATTAAAATCATATATTAATAGGATTTATTAAAACGAAATATTTAAAAAAATATAATTAATTATTCTTTTATGATTTCGGATTATTATTTTACATATAATGTTATTATATACCATATATGTAAAATTCCTTTCCATGATGCACAGTGTATATATATATATATATATTTTTATTTGTAATAATCATGAATAATTTATTATTTTACGTCTTTGCTTGAGACTGTAACATTGATTTCTTTAATTAAAATCTTTGCATCTCTCTAATAAATTTCTCTAATAATAAGTGCTAATTTAGTGTTTCGTGAAAAAAAAATAACGATTCTTTTAATTCTTAAATGATAATTGATTTTTGTAGTATAATGATTTTCTTTTTAAAATTGTATGTTATGTATAAAACGTTTACTTTCTCGTCATAAATAAAGATAAATAAACGGTATCTTGGTTATTAATATGAAAATAAAGGAAATTAGATAGGTTAGGTGTTAAACAACGAAAGATACAAATTAAATTAAATTATAAATTTGCTCAAATTAATTATTCATATCTCTTACAAAAGATGTAAATATATTTTTCTTCTTCATACTCTTTCGCTATAACACTCTTTATTAATTTTCATTTTGATAAATGATAATTGGTGCAATGTTCATTAATCTTTTTCATACGAATGATAAGTTACATCAATATATCAGCTTTTCAAAGTCATGAATTTTGTTATCGATGTATCTTTAATATTTTTCTAATTTTTATTAATCAAATTCTTAGATTTAAAAAAAAAGTTCTTTTTT